TCCGGAAAGTGAGAGAGGATCCGGAGTTGAAGCAACTAGGCGAGAATGTTGTGAAAACCAGGCGCACCCAGAAAGGCGAGATGCTATTCAAGCTGAAGAAGGACCCGTCGGTGAGGAGTTCAGCCTTCAAGGAACTCGTCGAAAAATCTCTTGGCGATGACGCAAACGTAAGAGCCTTATCTCAGGAGTCAGTGGTCGAGTGCAAGGATCTGGATGAGATCACAACGGAAGACGAGGTACGATGTGCACTGAAGGTGCAATGCAATCTGGGAGATGTACCTATGACAATCCGGTTGAGGAAGGCGTACGGTGGAACACAAACGGGGTCGACACGACTTGCGACGGACGCAGCTAACGAGTTGCTGAAGACAGTACGAGTCAAGGTTGGGTGGTCAGTATGCCCCCTGAAACCTCCAAGCAAATGGAGAGAAGCTCTCCGGGTAGACAGCAGCGTCCCAGACCAAAGCGCGGACGAGTTGACCGAATCGTTAGCGAGGGCATGCGACACAACCATGCCGAGGAAATCGGAGCCAAGGAACAGACGGTGCCCAGCTTACTGGTGGAACAAGGCACTTAGAACCCTCCGCGCTAGTTGTCTCCGAACCAGAAGGCACGTTCAGCGGGCAAGAACTGATGCAGACAGAGCAAAGCGAAGGGTGGTGTTTCGAGCAGCCAAGGCCGCTCTAAAGCGGGAGATAAAACTGAGCAAGTCAAACTGCTTCAAGAAGCTGTGCCGAGACGCTGATGCCAACCCCTGGGGTGACGCATACCGAATCGCGATGGCGAAGATTAGAGGTCCAACGACGCCCGTTGAAACGTGCCCAGAAAAGCTGAAAGTCATCATGGAGGTACTTTTCCCGAAGCACGACCAAATGACCTGGCCACCTATACCGTACGGCGAGGCAGAGGCAGACAACACCGAGGGTAGACAAGTCTCCAACGAGGAACTCGTAGCAGTGGCGAAAGGGCTGAAGACGAAGAAAGCTCCCGGTCCGGATGGAATCCCCAACGTGGCGTTGAAGGTGGCGATCCAGGCGTTCCCGGACATGTTCAGGATAGTGCTGCAGAAGTGTCTGGATGAAGGTCACTTCCCGGACCGATGGAAGATACAGAAACTAGTGCTGCTGCCGAAACCAGGAAAACCGCCGGGGGATCCAGCATCGTATAGTCCTATATGCTTGCTGGACACAGTCGGAAAACTATTGGAGAAGATCATACTGAACAGGCTAACGAAATTCATGGAGAGTGAGCATGGATTGTCGGTGAGGCAGTTCGGATTCTGGAAAGGGAGATCAACGGTGGATGCAATTCGGACAGTGGTCGAGAGTGCCGAGAAAGCGTCTAAACAGAAGCGGAGAGGAGATCGATATTACGCCGTCATAACGATCGACGTGAAGAACGCATTCAATAGCGCCAGCTGGGAGACTATCGCCGAAGCACTGCATGGAATGAGGGTTCCTGATTACCTGTGTAGCATTATAAGGAGTTACTTCCAGAACCGGGTTCTAGCCTACGAGACGGACATGGGAGAGAAATCAATCCGGATCACGGCGGGTGGTGCCACAAGGCTCCATCCTTGGCCAAACGCTCTGGAACGCGATGTACAACGGCGTGCTAACGCTGAAACTGCCCAAAGGAGTCGAGATCGTAGGATTTGCGGACGACGTCGTGTTGGCGGTAGTAAGCGAGACGTTGGAAGAGGTGGAAATGCTGGCAACCGAGACGATCGACACGGTTTCCAACTGGATGCAAGGAGCGAAGCTGCAGATAGCCCACCACAAAACGGAAGTGCTATTGGTCAGTAACTGTAAAGCTGTTCAGCGAGCAGAAATTACCGTCGGTTCTCCCCGCATAGCATCAAAGCGCGTGCTGAAGTATCTTGGAGTGATACTCGATGACCGACTAACTTCAATAGCCACGTCGACTACGCATGTGAGAAGGCGGCGAAGGCCATCAATGCGATAGCCAGAATCATGCCGAACAACTCTGGACCAAGCAGCAGCAAGAGGCGTCTTCTGGCTAGTGTATCGTCGTCGATACTGAGGTAGCGCTGAAAACGAAGAAGAACCAAAGAAAATTGAACAGTACGTTCCGCCTCATGGCCATGCGAGTCGTGAGTGCGTACAGAACCATTTCGACGGAAGCAGTATGAGTTATCGCCGGTATGATACCCATCGTCATCACCTTGGCAGAGGACACCGAATGCTATATGCGAAGAGATACCAGAGGAGTACGAAAAATGGTGAGAACGGAGTCGATGGTTAAGAGGCAACAGGAGTGGGACGCAGCGGAGAGCGGTAGATGGACACACAGGCTAATACCGATTCTTCCGACCTGGGTGAACAGGAAGCATGTAGAAGTCAACTTCCACTTGACGCAGTTCCTGTCTGTTCATGGCTGCTTCAGGAAGTACCTGCATCGCTTTGGACACACAACGTCACCCCTCTGTCCTGAGTGTGGCAACGTGGACGAAACGCCGGAGCACGTGGTTCTCGACTGCCCAAGATTTGAGGCAGTGCGAGTGGAGATGCCGACCCTTAGCACGAGAAATGTCGTCAGTGAAATGTGCCGGGATGAGAGGACGTGAAGCGTCGACAGCAGGGCAGTGACGTAAATTTTGTCGGAGCTGCAGCGAAAATGGAGAGATGATCAGCGAGTTAGCAACGCCGGCTAGCTGAGCTAAAGAGAAGTGCTTGAGCACAGCCCCCCCCCCCCCCCCCCCGACGAAATACTCTAGGGGAGTTCCCCCCCAGCCACTGTGATTAGTGGCTAGAGGCGAATAAGGTTTTGGTGGTTAGTCCCACACTGTGCCAGAAGGAGAACAAACACGCAACACAGTGACAGGCCGGGCTTTTGAAGCTTTCCTTACTATAAAAAAAAAAAACACACACACACACACACAGGGCTACAAATGGTGAGTTGAAAACCTAGCTCTGGTCCTCACAAGTTCCTACCTCACACCTCCTCGTGGTGTAGCCTGCCCGAAAAAAAAATCCCATTAAAATACAATGATTTTCATTGTCCTTGTAACCATAATATTTACTGTCAAAACAATTTTTGTCCATTACCATAAAATCACAACGAAATTCATGGTATTTGAGAAATTTACAGTAAAAAAGGGGGGTTGTTAAGCATCTTAACAATAAAAAAGTAGAAGGGTCTGTGCCTAGGGGCACGAAAGGAAGCTTGACGTAGGACCGCTAGTGGACGGAATAAATGTGAAGAGCATTTAGTTCTTTTAATTGATCAATTATCTATTATCTCAACTCTTTCCGTTTTTAAATTGCAGGCGTACCAAATTTGTAGTAATTTTTTTCAAAGAGAAAGTTGATTAAGAGAATCAATCAAAATCACTTGCACCCCTGCTTCCAAGTTTGGTTACAAGATTACAACTCTGGAGAGCATTTTGTGTGGTCGTTGGGGCTTGGGATTCTGAATATGGACAAACAAGCACAGATAAATTCTATTCCAACTCTTTACTGATGTAAGCTTGATGGCCCTGAATAGGGCCGTTTTATTGAAGAGGACATCCATGGTCACTTACGCATTGCGTGTTTAGTGTAGGTGACAGCATCACGGATCTCATTTTCCAGGAACACCTTCAGCACACCTCGTAGATCAGACCGGAGATACGTTTGACACCACCACGGCGAGCCAAACGACCGATGGCGGTTATTTCGAAGAACTTTTCGATGATGCTTGGCGCCTCCTCTACCAGACCTTTTCCACCTTTGCCACAACCAGTCAATTGTTGCTTGTTAGGTGTGAAGGAGTGGACTAGCCACCACCTTCCTACTGCTACTATTGCTGTTCACCACGCCGTCCGAAGCGAAAATGAACTAAGGACATACAGCAGCGCTCTTTTATATATTTTCAGGTTAAAGCAGAATGATGTGCGAACAAGTGGTATAAAAGCTACAAAGACTCCTCCTATTATGAGTAATTTGCTATCAAGTAGCAACACTGGCTCTTTTCCTTTTGCGTACACGGCAAATGAGAACGACCCAAATTTTAGTTTAGTTCACTCATAATCGCCAAAAGTGCAGGAACTCAGCGATGAGTAAATTTGTCTCATGGTTTCCTGTGGAAAACCTAAAAAATCTGCCAGAAAATGAGGAACTTAACGAAAATTTTATTCAGTCTCGCCATGCAATGTTCCACTTACAGTGGAGCATTTCTTATGCGAATGCCCCCAGTACCACGGACCTCGTTCCCTTTACGTGATCTCAGGTAGCATCAGGGATACCCTGACCCATCCAGCATCGCTGCACTATTCTGCTTCCTTCAGGAAGCAGGTCTGATTAATCAAATTTAAACACCCAAGCAACGACAACGGACTCAAAACTATACCTCGGCAACAAATACTGACTCGGACACGGATGAACGAAGATATTGAACCATGCAAAGCACGTACAAGGACACAGAAATGGACGAATGACGGCACTAAAATTAAACACAGCGACTACAAAGGAACAGGACACGGAACTTGACCACTTGACCACGATAATCCAAAAGGACAGTAACATCGGTAGCTCTAAAGGAAAATTCCCAACTCTGAAATATTAAAACTCTGTTATTATGGAGACTCCCTTCTGGAGCTCCCACCCATCTCCTAACTCCGTATCCTCGGGGTTCTCCTCTGGAACCTCACCTCCCCTTCCTATTAGCTCTGTAATTAGGGGGACTCCCGTCTGAAGTCCTCACCCCTCGTCTTTAAGAGATGAACCAGCCCAAGGCTGAAAATCTCTCTAATAAAGCAAAAAAAAAAATATTCAGTCTCGGAGTAGTACCAATAGACTGAGTGAATCTAATCTTTACTTTTCTCAAATTCTGGAATTTTTCCCTGGAAAATCCTGGGAACACATGATGCAAATTTACTCATCGCTGAGTTACTGCACTTTATTTTTTATTTCTGAGATAACTAAACTCAAATTTGGGTCGATCTCATTCGCCGTGATATAACCTTGAAAGATATCGGCGCCGGTGGTTAGCGTGATTACCTCTCACCCCAGCAGGCCTAGGTCCAATCTCAGTCGGCGCCACCGGCATGTTCTAAGGCATAACATCTCTGATCGCGCCTTCGTTCGGGAAGTAAAGCCGTTGGTCCCCGGTTGAGTTGCTGGGTCGATTGGTAGGGTCCAGGTGTGGGAGCTGCCTCCCTGGAGTCGGTAGCATTGGAGCTCAGTAAGGAAAACAAATCTCACGTCACTTTTCAATAGATCCTATCTACATTGATCGATTCTCTTCATCTACACTCTCTTTCGTAAATAACTCGGCTTCACAAATGTTTCCTGCTGTCTTCGTCGAATTAGATGCTAAATTGTTGCTTCTTCCATCGAAAATATCCGGCCGTGGCGATTCAAAGTTGATCAAGGTTGATCAAAATAATTTGTACCCCTGATTCCAGTTTGATTACATCAATGGAATCTATGTATGTAGTTGCTACGCACCCCCGAGATGGACAATTGAGCAGTTCCACCAGATGCTAGATGGGCTCACCGGAGAGCTCATTAGACGGAGACCACTGCACTGAAACGAAAGATAAAGCTGAGCAAGTCAAATAGTTTTAAGAAGCTGTGCCGCGACGCCGATGCCAAACCCTGGGGCAACGCATAACGAGTCGCGATGGCGAAGATCAGAGGTCCAACGATGCCGGTTTAAATGTGATAAACGCAGCAAATTTATGCATGCTAGGGGAATATCAGAACATGTTCGACTTTGGACTACAAACAGCTGACTGGACATACGAGACGAATAATGCCCTGGATGCGAAGTGCAATTATCGGTAAAACAACAAATTCATTTTTATGCAAGGTTGCACTTCGGATCTAGGTGGCAACGGTATGACGGGTAGAGGTATATGAAGTAAATGAAAAAAAAAACCGATCGGTGAACGACCGGTGATAATAACATTGCAAAAAAATATGCTCGCGACGCGCGCAGCTAGGGAGAGTAGAGAAGGTAAGAATGTGAAAAAAATATGTAGGGGAAATGACGGCTTCGGCATGACAGACTATTTTCGGCAACCCAAATTGAAACACTATTTTCACTGGATTTTCTTACGAAAACACTTCGCTGAGTGCATGCAAACGATTCTTTATGCTTTCAGCTTCAATTCGATTATATTTTTACCACTGAGAAAAAGCAATCTAGCAGGGTTTTCTTGAAATGAAACACACGCACTACAAATTGTAGCTGATTTCGAGTTGCCGATAATAGAACAGCAGATTTACATGCAGTTCAAATGGAACGGTTGCCGAAGAAAAACTGGTTGCCGACAATACTCGCTCTCTTTAGAGAAGATTGGAGCTTTGTAAAGTTTTTGACAATTCTTTCGACTGAAATTGTTAGAGCAGCTGGCAGCAAAAGATTGTAAACAAACCAATACTGCATATGTGTGCGTTCCATAGAGAAAAAGGCTATAGAAAGAAGGTCGCTGCTTAGGTTGCCGAGAATACGTAAATTCCCCTACTTAGTAAATAGGTTTAGTATAAAAGCGATTGATTAATTAATAAACGGGGAAGTATTCTCCAACTCGAAAAAGGTTTCGGTAGTCGCGTAGGTTCGGACATGAATAATTTCCGACTTTCGAAATCCTAGTAGGGAAGGGAGACTTCAGTAGTTGTTCCCCGGTAGGGGTAACGCATTGTGGTGACAGCGGAAAAAAGTAATTCGAGTATAGGAACGCTAAATCTGACTGGCTAATTCCAGAATAGTTAAAGTCGCGAATTTTCAAAAGTGTTAGTCTCAAGAACGATCGCCTCGTGTATACGAGAAAAAAGTGTGTCAACCGCGGACCGTTTCGAGTGAGTTTTGTGAACAATTTCGGAATTTCCGTGTCCGTCCGTGTCCAGTGGCAGAACAGTTCAAAAAGTAATAAAGAGGTGAAATAATAGCCGGCACCTTTGAGAAAAATCGCAGTGAACAATTTAAAACAAAAAACAAAACAAAAATACTGAAGCGAAAAAAAATTAATCATCAGTAAACCCGTGAAGAAGCTAAAGTGAAAATCGGTCTGCACTTTTCATAGAAAAACAAACCAAATCAGTGAATTTTGTCCGGAAACTTGTTCAAAAAGGTGCGCCAGGTGTAAAACGTGAAGAACAGTTGTGATTTTTTTTTTAGAGATGAAAATCTGGACAATAAGAATGAGGCATCTGATACTCCTGTTAGGGTGAGTAAACAACTTTAATATTAATTATTAAAGAAAGATTTGGGGTTCTTTAATTTTGGTTTTTATACATCATGTGAAAGAGTTTATTTTCGGAGCACAGCGATATTTTTCTTCATACACATTCATCTCGATTTTAAAATCAAGATTCAAATTAAAATAATAGCTTCACTGTGTGACACAAAACTAGTAAACTGACAGCTCGCTCCCATACAAAGTGTCTCCGAGGGGCGCTAAGATAGTGATTTTTGCCAATGTAATCGTTCGTTTTTTAAATAGTTACAGCGCACCAAAATTGATGAAATTTTGGATTTGACTTCCATTTTTAATGCAGGGTACGAATATGCATTTACCTCAACACCTTAAATAACTCAATTGCTAGAGTTTGGATTCGTTGCACCATTATGAAATCCAGTTTTAACCCAAATGCCGCGACTTGAAGACATTAAAGATTATATAGAGAAAGAATACTTGAATTTAACTAAGAGTAAAAATCGAGCGAGAACGCTTAGAGGCATTCTTACTAAACGGCAGCTTTTAACTGATGCTCTAAAAGATTTTACTCAAATTTTGGAGAAATGTGAAGATAGATTAAATATTACTCAATGGAATAAATTAACGGACGACTTTGAATTTGTCAAAAGTAAAGTTGATTTATCGTTAAAAATATTAGACGCTACAACAGTAATACAAGAAAAGAAATCGGGTGATAACATTCCATACTCCGGAAATGTTTTGAAAGTTGTTATACCAGCAGCTAATGAAGAAAATTTATCAAATTCTGAAAATTCAGATACTGAAGACGATTTCTCATTCTCTTCAACATTATTAGACTCTGAGAAATCAGAAGAGGAATTTGATGCTGATAATTCTGAAGAAGGTAATACATCAAAGTTTATAGAATACATCAATAAATTAGAGGAAGAATACTTGAAGAATAGTTTGATTATTGAAAATTATAAACAAGAACAAAAACAATTATTGAACTGTACATTTATCTATAACCATTTAATAAAGAAACGAAAGAAAATGGCGTTGAATAATTATGTTTTTCCAATGCAGACAACTATACAGTGCATTCCCGAGTATATGGGAACAGTTGACGAGTTAGAACAATTTTTAGTGCAAATTGACCATTTTGCAAATCAAATTCCAGCAACAGGCGATCATAAACCTCTGCTGATCAAATTAAAAGGAAAAGCAGCAACATTCATACACATAATTAAAGCAGACAAATGGGATGATATGAAACAGAAATTGAAGGATCAATTTGGAAAAACAATCACGGTAGAAGAAATTCTACAACAAATAGAAACTATGGAACAAAACTATTAAGAGTCTTACAAAGATTATGTAGACAGGGCACTAAAAATTAAGGAATACATAGATGAATTAGCACAACCAGAAGCGGCAGAAGCTTCCTTTGCAGAAAGGAGCCTTAAAATTCACTTCATAGGAGGTCTGAGAAACGAAAATCTTAAACAATCAGCGAAACGACCAGCAACCTTCAATGAGCTAATAAAATTATTAAACGAAGTTTATGTAGAATGCGAACAACTGGAAAGTATCGAACAAAGACTCCAGTCTTGTCAACAAATCAGGAACTCAGGGCAACAAAATTTCAGGAATCAAAATTTCAATAGAAATTACACTGAAGTCTTTTTTTACACGGTTTTTTTTACGCGGTCTTTTTTACACGGTTTTTTTTACACGGTTTTCCACGATTTACACGGTACGTTTTTAACGATTTCTCATTATCCGTTTCAAGCTATTTGTAATCGAATGGCATACTTAAAAAAAAAATCACAATTTTTGGTGTAAATACAGAAATTTTTAAAATATGTCTATATGGACCATATCATGCTTTAATTACAAATGGCATCAAAATCCGATTTTTTAAAAACATTTAAGCATGCGAAAAATCAAAATCTCGTAGGTTTTTTTACACGGTTTTTTTTTACACGGACCGTATCCCCCGTGTAAAAAAAGACCTGAGTGTACACATTACCAAACAACAATTTCAGTAACAGAGGCCGATTTAATCAGTCTCCACCATCAGGTAGTCTTCAAAATAACTACCAAGGTAGAGGATACAACAAAAACTACAACCAAAATCAAAACAGGGGATTTAATCAGAATTACAACCAGAACCAGAACAACCAACACCAAAATCAAAACATGGGATTTAATCAGAATTACAACCAGAACCAGAACAACCAAAACTACAACGAAAATCAAAACAGGGGATTTAATCAGAATTACAACCAGAACCAGAACAACCAAAACCAAAATCAAAACAGGGGATTTAATCAAAATTATAACCAGAACCAGAACAACCGAAACCAAAATCAAAACAGAGGTTTTAATCCAAACCAAAATAGAGCAAAAATACGATTATGACAATCATAGCAGGAATTTCAACCAAAACTTCAATCAGAACAGAGATTATTACCAAAATGGTAATCAATATCAGTCAAATCAGAATAAGAGACGTTTTGAGGATAACAACATGTATTCTCGAAACAGAAATTACAATAATGAAAAAAACTAGGTTATGGGGGTTTCGAATTTTGCGTCCGAACACCCAGGCATATAGAAAATAATACCAACAGACGCTATGAAATTGATGCTTCTAGAAACAGACAGGTATTGTCCTTACTTAATACAAACTACCAAGGAAGCTCAAGGAAAATCACAGAAAGCTTCATCAACCAAATTAACGGATGTATACCAGCCCATGAAAAGATATACATCGAACTCACAAGAAGCAATCAATTAATGCTGAATATTGTCACAGTCGAAAACCCATATATCAAGATTCAATATTTGCTTGATACGGAAGCATATGACAATATAATAAGTTGGAGTACAATCCTTACAATAAGACCCAACAATATAGATTATTCCGACAAAATATCTATGACAGGTTTCAATTTAACTAAAACAGAAACTATGGGCTCAGTAGTACTAAGATTGCTAATAGGAAATTCTAGTTATAAGATTAAATTCTATATAGTTAAAAACTTATGTGTTCCGGGAATAATCAGAACAGAATTTCTGAAACAATATACCTACACTATATATAATTCAGAGTTTTTCTTACATTGTGTTACGCAAACCAGATCAATATAATGAAGTACCAAATGAAGGGGAATTAATGAAGAAAAACGTGTGCAATAATGCCATATGTAAAAGGGAATCAAATAATAGGGAATGTCAAACGAATACGAGATATTATGAAGCCAAACAGGGCACACAAAATTCAAGCGTAAATGTAAAACATACGATTTTTGCTGAAAAACCATGCCAAACATACTTTAATGATGCTAACATTAGCTTTGAAACAATACATGATAAGGGATGCCAAACGGAATCCTTTACGCCAAATAATAAACATGGGAATAAACATTCATATATTGGAGCGTCAATGCGCAATGATGAACGATACATAAACAGCATGGATCTGAAAAC